TCTATCGCCCCAGCTCTGCCTTTTGTTCACATTGACTAGTTCCTTCCATCAAGTGAGCTTTCTTTTTTCTCTTCAATGACAGATACAGCTCATCTGCTGATTCTCCTCAACTTTTCCACCACTTTTCCTGCTCACAGTCAGTTTTAAGACTTCAGTAGGGACACAGGAAGTCAAACTCCAGTGTATGGAAACCTACTTTCTCTTCAGTCTGTGTCTGTATGGAGGGGCTTTGTGGAAAGTTGTGATATGCTTCCTCCAAGGGTCCTATAGTGTAAGTTCCCTAGGTAGAGCTTCTTGCTAACAGACTTTTTCCTGCAGTCTCTGATCCTGTTAGAGCATAGAAAGCTTTGGCTTATTTCCACAGGGTCTGTGAGTTCAGCAAATTCAACTGTTTGAAGTCCAGGACATCCATTCCACAGAACTGGGCATTTCATCCTGACTTCAGAGTACGTGCTTGGAGCACAGGGAGAGACGTCAGCTTTGGGACCTGCATAATCCCAGTTACCTTTTTTTCCTGCTTCTAAGGAATTTGGTCTCTACACAGTGCAAGGCCCTGTGTTAGGTGGCTGATAAGCAGGAGTGAAACTACAGGAATACTTTCCTCATGTCCTTCCCAAGTGCAATGACATTCGGCCATGCTGGGTTAAAGAGTGTTGACTGTTGGCAAGCCTGCACATAGCAGCTGTGATGATGCTGAATTCATAGTCTCTGCTTCTGAAACATAACTGTAAATACTAGGAATCCTATTTCTTTAGGGTTATGTAACTAGGAGTCTTAGTCCAAGATTTTTTCCTCTAATCCTTGAAAGCCTTCCTGCTTTATGGTTAATAGATGATCTTAATAATTAAAAAATATTTATTGCTTTTAAAGAAACCTATATTTAAAAGATGTTCTGTTTTCATGTTATAGTGCGGGTCATTCTGTCCTGATCCTGCAGAGAGCAAGTGTGCCATGGAACCCTAGCCAGTGAGGCTAGTCTCTCTTTGCAGGAAAATATCCAAGATATTTATTTTCTAAGACAGACTTGATTAATATTGTACTCTGTTTTGGGGACTATGTGTCCATTACATTCAGTCAGGGCTCACTGATAGAATGAAATGCACACATCAGTGGAATGGAGTGGCAGGGACTTGGTAAAAAGCTGTTTTCTGATAGGTATGGATGAATTTGTAGTGTTCTTTGGCCATTCAGAAGGCAGCTTCTCTAAAGAAGCACATTTTTTTGGGAAGCTTATGGTACTTTTTAATCAGCTGGCTTTTTAGTAGCTGAAATTTTATTTTTGTAATAATCCAGCCACTGACAGTGTGACTGGCTGGAATTGCTCAATGGGTGATTTGGCTCTTGCATGTCTTCTGCCTCATGTAAGGATGGGAGGAGAAACAGTGACACTAAACAGAAACTTGGATAAAGTGAGTTTCCTTGTGGTTCTCTCTCCTCCTGCCCCATGTAACTAGAGTGAGCAACTGCAAGACCCCTAACTGTCCAAAACCACTTCTTTTCCCCCTTGTTTCTTTTAAGTGGAGCTATGTTGTTTGAGTACTGAGAAACCATCTTCATTTCCTCAGAGTGGCTGAGTAACCAGCTTTCTAGTTGGTGCAGTGTGGCAGCTTCTTCAGCTTAGCTCCATTCTTCATTGGAAGAGATTGCCTGCAGCTGATGGGAGAACCCCAGCTCCAGTCTGGAACACGATTTCTGTGCCACTGCTGGAGCAAGGAGCCAAATTCAGAGCAGAGCTTACTATAAGGCCAGAGCAAAGCAATGCTTTGAACTTTATGGGAATTTTTGTTGAGAGCTGTGTTGGTGGGAGCACTTCTAAAACTCCAGATAAGAGCTTCATTGAAGGAAAATTACCCACCAGAACCTCTTTATTTTACTCAATTGATTCAACTTCTTAGCAACCTCACATGGAAATTGCTTTGTCCGTGCAAAGTAAGATGCACAAACATTTAAGAAAGGTTCCAAGATCAAACATTTTGTAACAGGACTTCAGTTACATGGGCTGTAACAAATACCTGATACCCATCCACGGGCCACCTTGTTTTACAGGTGGAAAGGGTCGCAGAAGGGTGCAGGAACACAAGGAATTAATGGATCAACTGCCTGTCATCTTTGCTCAGGAAATTGGTTTGCCACTTTGTAGGAAGTAGCTCATAGACAGGTGGTTGTCAGCTTTAGTCTCTAAAGTGACACAATCTGGGCTGCAGAGCAGCAGAGATGAGGCAAGGGGCTGGTTCACACCGTATGAATAGAGAATAGTTGAGGTTAAACTTCATCTAGCCAGCACTCCTGCTGTGCTCTTCTGCTAACAAGCTGTGGAGCTGGCAGGGAGCACTGCCATTCTTGTTAATCCCACCCAGGAGGTCAGGGCTTGTACTTGTGCTCCTTTATTGATGGAGTTCCTAACGTGGCTACAGCTCTCAGATCTCATAAGGCAAAATGTCACTGTGGCACGTTTTCTTCTCTTCAGAAAGCTGGAAAATTGCCTATATAAGCTACTAGTGTTGAGCTGGATGGCCACAGCAATAAGAGATTCTCCAGGGCTGAGTTACCTGCCTCTTCTCTAGACAGTCCTCACTTTCAAAACACAGTTGCTACATCTAGGCTCTGAGTTCCCTGACCATTGCACAAATGCTCTGCTTCACTAAAGACTTAGCTGCTTCTATGGCCTGCCACAGATTGTGTTACGAAGGCTGTTTATTTTAGCAGCTCTCTGCTCAGCTCAATATTAAGGACAGTATCTATGTAGCTGCTGATTTACAGATACTTTGGGTGGAGGGGAAGGTTCCTCAAGTGTATTGTTTTGGAAAGTCTCCGGTGTACTTCAAGTATTCAAAGAATTTCCAATAAAACTTTTGTGTAAACAACACTCTCTGCATTTTTCTGTGTACCAGCAGATCTGGGACAGTTTCAGGCTCATGCTTGTTTTCGTCCAGGAAACAGGAGGATCAGTGGCCTGTCAGTGAATGCAGGACAGAGCAAGTTGCTGCCTCCATCCGAGAGGGCAAAGTGGATTGGTGCATAATAGTTGGAGAGGTCAGTGGGATCTTCCTGAGATCAACCTACTGGAAGGACAAGAGGCACAGACAGAACAGGTGCCTGGAGGTGGGAGGAACAGTGTTTGACCCTGCTGACCTCACCAGTGAATTGGGAAACTGAAATATTAATTAGTCTCCAGAGGAAAGGGGTAGGAAAAAGAGGAAAATATATGCACAGAATTTGCATTGTACATAGTTGCTACTACACACTTAAAGAAGCATAAGAATGTTTTGAGTTGACAGGAGAGATAGCAGAGACTAATAAAATATGGAAAGAATACCCAAACTTAACAGCTGTATTCTAGTATTGGTAAAAGTTAACTCTGTATAACACATAATGCCAGGTGTGGTACCAACACCTTCCCTTTAAAGGAAAGACAAGATTATAAAAATCCATGTACTAATAACGACTGCTTGATTTAAGCTTCAGTGTAAAGGGTGTCTGGTTATTATAAAAAAAGATAAAGTGAATAAAATGACAGAAATGGAGGGAAAAAAAGAACTACTCTGTGTATTAGAAGCTTCTATGAAGGGAATATTCCAGCCTGGAATACAAGGGTAACTAATAAAAGCAATCTTTTCTTAATCACATTTTCAGAAGGTAACACAGTAAACTGAGCATACTGTTGGAATCTTACAGCTACCAAGCTGTCTAGATTATATGCATGTATACGTGTGTATTTATGAGTGTCAGTTCATGAACTTCAAAAAGACATGGTGCAGTGTCAAAACTCACAGAAACCATCCTGTAGGATCTGGGGCTTACTGCAGGGCTTTCAGTATCCATTATTTACACCATGTCACCAGGAAGACAAGGGATTGGAAAAACCATCAGGAAATAAGCAAGAAAGTAAACAATCACATAAGTATGATTAACCACCAAGGTCATGAACAATTAAATACCATCACTTTGTGAGCCTACTTTATGTATTTATAAAAAATGTTCTCAGAACAGTGTCCGTAAAGTCAGGGCGCAGCTACTCATGAGAACGTGTCCAGTTGCAATGGCGTTCACGCTGCGTTCCGTACTGCCCATGGTTGCACATACCGCAGGTTCTGCCAGTGCTGCTCCCTGTCAGGGACAGATGCACCTGCTCTCCAGCTCCTCCGAGCTGATGTTGCTACAGCACGATGCCAGGCAGGTCACTGTGACAAAGCCCAGAGCCAGGACCAGCTGCTACACTGAGAGGAGGTTTGAGGTCTCGCTGTATAGTTGGCATGTTAACCACACTGACCCCATTGCAGGGGCCATGTCAACCTGCAGAAGGGGAACTGGCAACACTGGGAAGCCCTTAACTGGTACAGTAAAAACTGACAGGCAGCACACAGTTTAGACATCAGCACCAACGCATGACCCTGACATACCATCACTGACATCCCAGCAGTCAGGCTACTGCCCAGTGCTGATGGTTTTAGCCCCAGTACTCTCCATTCTACTCCTAATTCTTGCATCCTATCCAAAAAGCTTACTGATGTAACAGGCAAATTGCAGTCTTTAGGAAAAAGTAGTGAACTGAATATGGATCAAGGGGAGTGTGGTGGTCCTAACCAGACTACTGTTCATCAAGTTAGCAATCTACATACACTGAAATGAGAAGGTGTAGGCTTCTGCTGAGTGTATCATCTAGCTCCAGGATAAACTCAGCCAGCTAATCCTAAAGTGACTCCCACTTGGCACCCTTGGAATTCCTAGGCAGACTGCTCATCATGACAGGAAGATGGTAACATGGAAGAACAGCCCTCTTCAGAAGAGCCAAATCTATACTACTTAATTTTTGTTTTAATTCTGTTTCCAGCCCAAGGCTCCTGCAACCTAGTATTTCTTCAGTTACTCACATAGGAGGCATTTAATACTTTCTTTCCTTCCTTGCAGCATGGTTGTAGCTGGCAGTATAGACAGCCCTACTTATTTCTTGTAGATGTGTCACTGCTGCTGCCACTTGACGAACATGTATGGATCTGAGATTACATTTTGATTTTTATTGAAATACAAAAAGTGCAAACTGTGAAATACAAGATTGGTGCAGATTAAAAGAAAATAAACAGTGTGAACTGTGAAAACCCAGGCCTGCACCTGATGAACAACAACAAAGAAGAAGGCAGGGAACACCAGCAACAAAAGCAAAGCCGAAATTTTTGCACAGGAGCCCCTGTGCATAAAAAAGGAAGCTGGGACCAATCTGGCCCTCAGCTCTCTCATGTTAGCACACAAGACATCTGGATGGCCCCAGACCCCCTGCACCACCCAGAAGCTCTGGTGTCAGTTCACAGCTTGGGCCAGGGAGTGATCAGAGGCCATTAAAGACAGCAGGAGGCTTAGCAGAGGGGAATGTTCTAGGTGCTAAAAGCAGGAGGTTGATGCAGAACAAGTACCCCCACAGGAAGAAATGGCTAATAGCTAACCTGACAGGTAAGCCAGGGAAGAGACCCTTGGGCAGCTCTATAGCAAGGAGAAAACCAACAGAGACCAGCACCTTAACTGTATACCACCCCCGACCTATACAAGGCAGAGAAACCCAGCCCAGCCAGCACCTTGCCCATGTGAGGAGGGAATTTAACCCCCTGGCTTTGGCAGGTGCAGGCTCTGGCAACCACCCACCTGACACAGGCTGCAGGCAGGCCCGGGCCAGTTCTTTCACAGGAGGAATATTTCAATACAAGGCATTCAGAGGAACAGACTGCAAAAGCAACCCTGGTTACTGTGCCTGCTCCAGGGCCCTCAGCAGCTCCAGCACAAGGAGTAGCAGAGGAAAGGGGATATTTACAGTGGGTCCCTTCCAGGATTTGCAAGCACTTTCCCACCATGAGCAGTAGTAGTTCCCTGAACACTCTCCAAATCTGCTCCCTGCAAGCACTGAACTGGAGCAGGTTTTTATCCCTGCCAGCAGGGGATGAACCAACCTCTATTTTGCTAAAAAAGGAAACGTCATTTCAAGAATTCACTAAAAAAAACAAACCAAAAAAAACCCAAAAAACCAACCTAAATCCCAAAAAAACCCTAAAATAAACCACCAAAGTTCAGCCAGAACTCAGATGCTTGCAGTATTCCCTCCACTTTCCCCATGGACAGGAGCTACTCCAGCACTGCTCCTCTGGCTACTGGGCAGGGAACAGTCCTTGCTGCTCTGCAAGGCCAGAACATGCCACCTTCCCCAGAGAGTGCATAGGGCCAGGCCTCATGCACACAGGCACTTGAATTCCAGGCTGCTGAGCTTGGGCATTTGTTCCAGAAGTTAACTGGGCTTGCCTTTCCTCTACAGAGATGAAGGTGAAGCCAGTGTCAGCTGCAGATACAGTCAGAGAACCAAGTCTTCTTCTCCCCCTACCAAAGCCTCCACAGAGCAGGATGCCTACAGGGAAAGAGGGGCTGCACTGGGCTCCCTCAGCCTCCATGGCCTGGCCCCTTAAACACTGGGGGAAGTACACCTCTCTCCACACTAGTCCACCACAGATTACTCCTCCACAGCACATCAGCCCTGCTAACTCACTCTAGAAGAGACCACAAGTGAAATTAGGAGCAGATTATCTCTCCCTCCAAAACATTTACTTAGCTACTGCTGTGAATTGTTCAGGATTAAACAATTCATATCCTGGCCAAACAGAGAAGGCTCCTATTCTTGGAAGAGGGAAACTTGAAGAAGTCAGCAGCCTGGTAGCCTCCATATGGCAAAGTCTCCTGGTATCTAGAAAGGATCAGATCCAGTCCTATCTTAGAACCTCTCTAGCTCAAAGTCTTAGTAATATTCACTTTCCTGCGCACTGTTCCCACCCACATGTTGGTGTACCTCCTCCAAGGCAGCTGCCTGGACCTGCACTGCCTTGCAGAGCTGCCTACATTTGCACCCATCCCCATTCCAGAGTTTAGCAAAAAGAGCAATCTCCTTAATTCCTGCAGCAGGTGCCACTTACTTTGAGTACACCAGGGGCACTGACCCTTGGTCAGTGTTTAAAGGCAGGCTAAAATATTATGAAAAAGCAGTTTCTCTTTAGCATCCAGTAGCTTTAAAAAAACAGTTCTGCTTGGTCCAAAAGATTTGTCCCTGAGGCCAGATGCAGCACGGAGGTCTGGCCCAGGCACACAGGGCACAAGATACAAAGGTAAATCACACCAGTGAAGTAAGGCTAGAAGCTCCCTCCTAAAACACAGACAGGCCCAGGCTGAGGAGAAGGATCTCTTTTAGCTCAGGTAATGGGAATGAGGCAATGCAAACCCAACAGAGATGCTGTGACAGTATCACAGCTGCCCCAGGGAGGTGCCAGGACCACCCCACTCTGAGCTTGCCTTGCAGAGAACATGATCTCTCCAGCTGTGCCCAGGGCATACAGGATGTCTCTGACCAGATCCCAGGGTGGAAAGTATGAACCCAGGAGGAGACACAGCAAAGGCCCTTGGCATGGAAGAGCTGTTCCCTCACAGCTTTGGCACAAGTGCTCAGCACCTGGGCAGAAATTTGTAATCCAGGCCTGGTACATTCCATGGTGAGGGTTAGCCCCAGTCCACAGACCTTCCATCAAGGCCATGCTCTCTGTTACACTGTGCTGGGAAAAGTTGTGCTCAAAAAGACAACTAACTAGTCAAGGCGGCCTGTGCCAGTCAGCACAGATAATTGTGCCAGAAGAGGCCTCGTGCTGCTGCCAGGACAGATGGTGATCCTCATGGTATTCAGCAGCTCAGTGCCACCAGGGCACTTGCTCCTGCCATTCAGACTCACCAGCTGTCAAAGGGTCACAGCTGGCCTGTATGCACAGCCAAGCCTGGCATGAACCTTCCCAGCCAGGCTGGAAGTGCTGCTGGAGGGACAAACACACCTGAGCTGGATAACTACAGAGGCAAGTCACCCACTGCAGTCCAGCAAATACTCAATAGTACCTGGAGTGGGTGACCCCAGAGGGGCTGGGCTTTGGGCTAAACTCACCTTCATTGTTATGGAGTCTGACAGCCCATTGCCATGAGCCTGTCCTTCACCTGCCTGCCAAAAGCAGCGGGTCTAGAGTGGTGTTTGCAAGTGCAGGACATGCTGCTACCTGAAGCACAAGGGCTCCTGCTGCTCCCTTCCCTGCTTTAGGTGTCTCTGGGGAAAGGCAGGATGCATGCTCAGTGCTGAGAAATGGCACTCACAGTAAGAATGTCTTCATCATAAAACCCAGCAACCCCACCCTAGCCCAAACAGCCCAGCTGAGGCAAGGAGGGGTGAGCTCGGGCTATTGGGAGCTTGAACAAAAAGATCTGAGCTGAGGAAGGGACCAGGAGGGCAGAAAAACTGCACATAAGGGAAGGAGGAAAAGAAGGCAGGTCATCTGAGAGGGCAGAAGACTGGTGATGAGCACTGGAGGAGCTGCGCAGGTGGGTTAGGACTCCGGTCTCAGCAGCTGGGAGACCAGCTCCCCTGCCCATCCAGAGCTGCAGGTCTCCTGCTCACTTACTTGCACACTTTCACCATCATCTCCACAGCCCTCACTCTGCTCATCACCCAGAAGATCAGTGGTCCCTTTGTACTGGAGACAGCTTGGTCACAGCTCCAAGACAAAGAAGGGGAAAGGTGGGCACAGTGTGCAGGTGTGGGCTGGCCTGGATTCAGGCCTCCGCAGCCTCAAACAGCTCCTTCTGGTGGTCCAGCAGGAATTTGGTAAAGGTATTGATGGGATTGATGGCTTTTAGAGTGATGGCCACATCTTTGGCCCAGAGCAAATTTGGGCCAAACACAACTGCCAGGTTGGTGTTTGTCATCTTGTTTCTGTCGCTGTGAGCAGAGACCTATGTGGGAAGGGAAAGAGACGACTGTGAATCCTACAGAATAGCACAGCAGCTGCCTACCCTTCCCAGAGACAGAGAAAATAAGAAGAGAAAAGCTGACCAGGCTATATCGTAACAACAGGATCAAGAGTACTGTCAGATAATATCTCTACAAGTCCAGATCACCACTCATGATCTTCCCCCTTACTTGAATGGCCATGCAGTGGCTTTCTTGGCAGCAGGAAGTACTTTAAAGCAGATGTGAGACCCCTCTTCTACTCAGCTACTTTGTAGCTCTACCTCCACCCTGGGGAGCTTCCAGCCTCCCTGGTACAGACCACACAGGCTGTATGCCTGCACTTTTTAGACTGAAGGCCTGGCTGTACCTCTCAGGGTTACGACAAGCAAATGCTTAGGCTAGTGCTCACCTGCACCAGAAAGGCTGTCAGTAAACGGAGCACTTGGTAGTTTTCTTCCGGCAAATCCTGGAGGGTTTTGCGAACAACTTCCACACGTTTCACCTCCTCCACACCTAAAAATCAAGAGAGACAGGACAATCCTCAGCATCCATCCTGATGAAGGCCCTGCTGGCAGTCACAAAGTATCCCATGCATGTCTCCACTAAGACATCTTTGCCCTTAGCCAGTGCAACGTTTAGGGAGTAGCACTTGTTACAACTCACTCTGGAAGCTGACAACATGGCTGTAGAGGCCAAAAGTGAGGAGGGGCTCAGGTAGCTCCCTCAAGAAGGTCTTGAGAATCACAGCAGGGAGGTGGACATCTTCATACTCCTGGAAATCTACAGGTACACCTGAGAAAGTAGAGCAGAGACTCAGTGCTCACTGGCCAAAGCAGCACCTCCTCCAGACAAAGGACAGGAGATGATGGCCACAGTCTGAAACTAAGGAAGAGGTATTTCAAAAAACACAGAATCCTGAAGTAACACATTTTCTAGCAGAGTAGAAAAATATGTCCCAAAATCATATACAAAGCAGTGCTGAATCCAGCACTACATTTTTAGAAGTCATCAAATGAAACATGACTAAGTTTCATCCTGGTCATCTTAAGTCCCTTAAGTATAACCAGAGTAACATGGCATATCTCACCCCAAGAAACAGGGAAAATTTCAGGAAAAAAAAGGATAATAAGGGGAATATGAGTGGGAAGGAATATGCTTTCCACACAGCAGAAGTACCAGATACTTCTCCCTTGCAATTCAGCTCATACCCCAAGATGAGGCCTCACCTACAGACCTATCAAAGAAGGAGAAAATCCATGATGGACTAGTTCCTACACAGTTGCAGTTGCACAGCAGTAATCAGGGAATGAGAGGGGCTCTGATGTGCTTGGGCACTTACCCATATTGTATTTTTGCTGGACCTCTTTGACAACCTGTGTATTTGCTGATCTCCGGAAAATGCCCTCTGTATCAAGAGCTGCGAAGTGACAGCAGATGGAGAAGAAAAAAATCAGCCATGTGAGAATCTCTAAAAATGCTGGCCTTAACAATTATAAATCCATGCTGTGGGGAATTCAGACAGATATCAACAAGTCCCTTTTTTAGAGTACAACAATTCTTTCTGCTTCCACTATCAGACAAAGGATACAAGGGGCATTTGGCTACTTTTACACAAGTGGGAACACAGACTCCTAAAATAAGGAGGTCTCCTAAGCCCTCCACAATCTCACTTGAAGGCTAACTCACCTAGTTCAGGCTTTACACCCTATTCTAGACTGCTGTTCTTCTTTATCTTACCACAGTATTGATGGCTTGATGGACAGAACAGAGGTCACCCATATGGGACTGCAGCGTCCCCAAACACTTACCATGCTCCCGCAAGTGAGCAATGGTGTCTCTGACCACCAGAGGAACAGGAGACTGATCAGGGCTCTTCTCCCTGAGACTGCACCAAGAAACAACAAGTTACATACGACTGGCACACAGGAATGGTCCTGCCCTACATGCACCCTCCAACTCTTGAATTTACCACACAAGCTGTACTACGTATGATCTTGCTATCCCCATCCCTGGTTCAGCCATTATTCTGGCCTTCTATCCTCTTCACCCATCATGTTACATCATTCACTGGAGCAACTGCAAGGTCATTACTAGACCATAGGAATGTTTTTCCATCCTCTGTAAAAATCTCAACCTGTATACGCCAGGGCAAAGGGTTTCCCAGAAGGCAAGGATGCTAGTTATGCATCAGGTGAAAAGGGTTACGCTTCCTTTTTCCTTCCCCATAGGAGCAAGGGCAGAAAGAAGCTGACATGAGAAAAAAAATTTTGGCCACCACATTCCTGTAACCAAAGATTTATCAACAAAATGGCCGTCAGGGAAAAACCTCATGATGCCAAGGTGCTCGCTGGCACCCTCACATTCGATTGTCCAGAGCACTCGATAGCTGGGAGGTGCTCACCCCTCCCAGGCTGCTAACGAGCTCAGGCACCACGGCACCATGGCAAACACCATCTGGAAATTTTGCACTGAAGCTGGGGAATGTGTTCCCAGACTGCCTCAGAGGATGTGTCTAGCTACACAGTACTGGCTCCTCCTCATTCCCCAGGGAGGCAAAACCACACTCAGAGTTAAAAATACCTTCAACACTTACTCAGTATCACCAGCCCTTGCCAGTGTCTGTGTTTGCCTTTGTCACTAGGAATGAATACTACAAGGCTGAACAGAGGTGGTTTTAAAACAGAATTTATGATTTGGAAAACAACTAAAAAACAAATCTGCAGTGCTGCTCAAAGTAGCATAGTCCTAAAGAGAACCCTGTCAGCCTCCTACAGACTTCTTTTGCTTAAAAGGAAGTTTCTAGTGTCATAAAGCTGTCCCCATGGCTCTTCTTTTGCTCCTCCCTTAGTGACCCTAAATTGCAAAAATAATCTAACCCAGAGATCAAGAGGGTGGAATTGAACTGAGTTAGTCAGGATCTGGACACAAGCACAGAGTTCCTCAGGAAAATGATTAAAGTTTAGCAGGAAGTCTGAACTGCCAGAAATTTCTCAGCCATTTTCTGCTGTTGTTCAGTAATAAATACAGTGTCCTCATACCAAACAAGTCAGGGCAAAAGCAACACAGTCCAGAAATACTCACTGCTGTAGGGAGACTCCAAACTGCTGGTTTGGCAGTGGTGGGCGTGGGGGTGTTGGCTTCTGGGGCACTTGCAAAGGTTTCTGCAGGGATCTCAGGTATTCATCATACCTACAGCAAAAAACAGACTAGTAAAAACGCACTCCACCTCCCAGAAAGTGCACGAACCCAGCACTGCACACCCACTGGTAGCAGCACCAGACTAGTACAGTCAATTACACCTATGCAAAACCACCACGGGCAGCTCTGGAGCACAAGAACAAACATCTGGTTGCCAGAAAAAAAAAAAGCAGGGAGAAAAGGAGTATCTATCTGTAATCAAGAGGTGGAGTAGCTGAGTAAGAGCGTGGGCAGGAGGCCAGGACAGCACTGCTTGTGATGAGACAGATGCATATGTGGGTGTGGGACAGGGAAGCAATCTGGTAGGACTGAGATTATGGAAACTTTGGGAAGCCTCAAAGACAAGCTGAGCAGTGCAGAATGAGCTAAGCAGGTGCCCAGACGACAGCAGATGCACACCATGAGCTCCAGGTCAGTGTTAAGTCAGTATCTTGCAGAAAGTGCCCAGGGAGTGAGTGGGAGATGCAGGATTGGTTCTCCATTGCAGGAGGATTTTTAACTCAAAGACAGAACTGGGGACTGGGGCCAAGGACACAGGAAGGAATACAGAGAGAAACCAGTCTTGAAGGCAGTGTGTCAGCACACCCTGCAAAACCTGAGTGGAACAATCTCTTCCTTCTCTTGCCACTCTTTACAAAAGGTCCCCTCTCACAGACCCCTAAGCAAGGGGGAGACAGACAGTATTCTCACTTTAGTACTTGGCTTGGGATCCCCAACTGTTCCAGCTTCACATACTCCTCCAGCTCACTAAGGTAATTCACATAAAAAATCTTTCGTCCAAATTTAAAGCTGAAAAACAAGAGAAAGGTAGATATGTGAGGAATTGGGAAATCCAGTAACAGAACTGACTTCTTACAGAAAAGGAGAGCAGAGGGCTGCAAGAAACATCAGTGGGGCAAAGGGTAGGTATAGCTGAGCAGCAGAGATGTCACCCACATAGCTCTCCCACTCCATCTATTTTACCAGGAGCTGCAAAGACTTTCCAAGATACATTAGAAGCCCTAGCAGCAGCAGGCTCCCTCAAATGGTGGATTTCTCCTTCCTGTGTTCAGCAGTAGGCTCGAGAAGATTTTACTCCCAATTATTTCATAGATTTATTATTTCAGTATCACAATAAATTAAATATTTGAGTTACAGAGCCTGCAACTTTTTACTTCTACTTGGCTGGAGAGAAAAGGAGTAGCACAGAGCTGCAAACTCTGTAGGTTCCTAAAGAGGTATTTCTGGTGTGTGAGCATTTCTGAGCTCAGAAGTAGGAGGAGACAGAAAAAGGTGAGAGACTCCAGGATAGGCTTGGCAGCCTGGGCTCAGTTTGTGCCCCTCTGAGAAGGCCCCATTGTTCCCCTGAAGTGTGAACATGCAGGTGAGCCTCCAATAGTGCTTCCTTCCTACCTGATCAGAGGCTTGAAGAGTATCAGGAGGGTCTTGATGAACATGGTTGGGTGCACAATATACAAGGCTTTGATGTTTTTCTTGTACCTGTCAAGAGAAGCCCAGTAATGACAAGCTGCACTTTAAGCAGAGGAACCAACCTTTCCACAAGATTAAGGCTCCAGGGTTGCTTCATGCCTTTTGCACTGGGCCTCACCACACCCCAGCACTCATGGCCTCTGCTCTCCCATGCTCTGTAGCTGTAGGCATGCTACCCTGTATTCCAAGATTCATCTAAAACCAGTGAGCAGCCTACCCAGGAACCTACAATTATACTGTGGGGCTGACACACTTGCACCAGGTCCTGGGTTTGCTGCTTGCCCATTGGTTTAAAGGATGTAACTACAGAAGGAGCTGTTTAACCTATGATTCAGTGTGTATTTATCAACAATCCACCTCCTTAAGCAGGAGAGTAAGTGACAGTAAATGATGATCACCAAGTTACACAGCGGGGCTGGGGAAGATCCTCTATGTTAGGCTACAGAACAGCACATAACATCCTTGCTTGCTGCAGCTTTACTCACTTGCGATCAAATTCCCTGTAGGCATCCCGCAACCAGCTCAGGGATGGCTTGTTCTCACTGGTCAGGCCATGGTGCAGGTACACCAGAGTGTAGTCACTCTCCACGTACTGGTCCAGTGTGAATTTCAGGTACCTGAGAAGAAAGAACTGATGGACTCGCATTGTGCTGTGCTACAGAGAGGCTATTCCTCCCCTTGGGACTCTTTTTGTGTGCCATAACAGAGGATTTGCATCTCCAGCAATGGAGGTAAGCACTTGGGAGGACATGTCCAGCTAAAGAAGCTACTGCAGATGGATCTGTCCCCAGGAATCCAGCAGCTGAGAATTAGGTCAGATTTAGGAAATTAGCAGCAACCTACTAAGACTCTACTTACCCCAGCAGTTTCACGTGATCTAGTTGATGACTTGGGGGCATCCTGCAGGCACTGAACAAAATTACTTTTCTTCCATATTTGTCATCACCTGCAGATGAAATGCCAGAGATTACAGGGAGTTAAGGACTTCATTGTGGTATTGGCAGCAAGTGGTAAAGAAAGAATGAGAAACCATCGTAACAAGGCACAGCTGCCAGCAATGCTAAATCTGATTTTCAGCAGTTATCATGGGCCTAATGTGGAAGCAGAAACCTGAACACCAAGGGCCTGGCAAGTCAACAATGAGAATCAAAACAGATTCCCCGCTCCAGCCCTGAATGGAGATGAAGGACTGGAAACCAGAATGCCTCGGGGCACATAGGGATGGAGCCAAGTACAGAGCAGAGTGCTCAGAGTATTAATCCTGCAAAACTGTGCCTGGGCATTGTTCCTGATGCACACATGTCCAGGGAGGCATAGGGAAAACTGCCCCTCACCTGCACAATAACTCCTTCCACCCTGCACACAGTCCACACTAACTTCTAATAGTCTGGTGCATCTGTTTATTGCTTCACCTGGAGCTTAGCTCTGCACACAGAACACAGGCCATTTCATATCCTGGAAACAAAAGACATCCTAGAAAAAGAGCAGTTCCAGACAAGAACTCTTCTGGATGAATTCCAGATGATTTCTCATCTTTCCAAAGAAAAGTCTCTTCTACAGATGGGCCAAGCAGGGCTGCCGGATTCTCCAGAAGGATTGTAGAATAAGCTCTTCACCGCTTCCTAGATTTTCCATCCACAGAGAGATTTTTCCAGCCTGAGACAGAAGGAGCTGCAAAGTGCAGCACGACAAAGCATTCTTTGTAAAAGCCATGCAGAAAACAGTCCCCATCACACTGGAGCCAAATAACCCATAAAGCACCATCATGTCATGGAGGACACTCCCAGCCACCACTTGAGGCTTCAGAGACAACAAGCCAAGGTTTCCCCAAAGCAAGTCTTCAACCATCAGTGGACTTCTGCCAGCAGAGATCTCAGCCCCGTGAACAAAGTCCAAGCAGACACCAAGCATGGCCAAGCTTAGGAGACATGCTGGGGAATAGAGAGATTTGCATAAGTGAGAACCAGGTCACAAATCCTGCAGACATACAGAGTTTGAGGGAAAGTCTGAATCTGTCCCAGACACAACATCCAATCCATTTCCACAAAGATGACTTCTTTTTAGCAGCAATGGAGATTAAATGGTTCCTTTAGTATTAAGGGTAAAAGTCTTCCCATCTTTTTAGCTACTCACCCTGCTCTGAAACCTGTTTTCTTGACAAGCAGAGAGTGCAACAGTGAATGGGGCTGTTGAGGCTATACTCAACAATACCCTCCATACTCCCGTATGGTAAACCATCTCACACGGACCCAGCACAGAAAAGCAGCAAGGATCACTACTTATGCAGGACTGACCCGTAATACATCATTCCTCTTGAAATGCATCATTTTCCCAGCATTGATTTATAATATTCATGCAGCCATTTTCTCCCCTACGCAGAGGCTCTGGTCCTCAACTACCACTTGGCTACGCTTGCCACGCAGCAACTGAGGTCTCAGAACAGCAAACCTGATATTTCTGGGAATGCTGTTAGTAGCAGATGACCACTTGGTGCTACAAATAGCAGCCAGAGAATTCATACACACCAGCCATGACATTAAGATGCCACCAGCCCCCTTTTGTCCCCATCTTGTCAAAACAGATTCTCTTGCTACTTTGTTCATTTTTATTTTCACCTTGCAAGTCCCATTTTCAAGTCACCAGACAACACAGAATTTACTGATGCACACAAGGCAGAAATTCTACCAAAGCTAAGGACACTGCAGCAGCACTAGGTAGGACCAGGAAAGGGGCGGCACAGGCCATCACACTGACATTCACATGCGGAGATCGGGGCAGCTGGGGAGGACGCATGACCTGGAATGCAGGACTAGGAGAGTGATGCAAGGCTCATCTGGAACAACCGGGTACAGTCACAGCCAGGCCACAAGACCAACACCACACCGCATATCCCATGGTAGCCCACTCTCTGCCTACCCCAGAGTTTCTTGATAGCTCGTTGTGAGCTTTAGGGCCAGGTCTAATGTAATTGAGCTGTCTAAAAGACTAAGTGCAGGTGACAAAGTCCTGGGCAAGGAACATGGCATATTGTGATCCTTCGCATCGGTCTTGTGAGACTCATATGTCTCTATCTGAAGGACAAAGGGTCCTGCCTGTATAAAGCACCAAGAAGATGCAGCATTTGAGAATCTGTTGAGTTTTATAGTCATGAAAGAGAATGGTCAGAAAGACAACAGATCTTCGCAGATCACATGTAGCTCTAAGCTAAATTCAGAACAGATGACCTTCAGTTAACTGAGGCTGCATTTCACACCAGAGTGGATGGTCTGAGGGCCAGATGCAGACTTCAAGTTTAATTAAGGCAGGCCTCCGTGGTGTGCAGCACAGTGGGTGGCCATACACTCAGCTCGGGCTTCTGGGCACTGATTATCAGACCTGACAAATCACAATTCCAGAACAACATACCTTAAATAGCTTTCTCTGAAATGACATAAAAGCCTACAGCAAGGCCTATGCAATGTCTACAGAATTGTTCCTTACATAGTCTGGGATCGCTGGTAAAGAATAAACAGACAATCTATGATTCTTTCAAAGGGGAGATGGCATGTATTCCCTGGACAATTTCCAGGACCAAGTACATCAAAAGATAATCTACAGTGCCCAGGATGACTGAAAAAGGAGTGGCCTGCTTTGCCTTCCCAATCAGAATGAATTTATGCATGAGACCTACAAAGGAACCAGCGTGCACTCTTCTGAATTCTGGGTTTTGCTCCAGTTTCATCACACTGAGCTCAGCCTGTCAACACAGAAACTTTCAAAACCATCAACTGCCAATCTTGTTTCTACCTGACATATATCTGACCAGTCTGCTTGCTCCAGACATGACAAAATAAAAAATTCAGCACCAAAGCTGAACAATTAGTTGCTCCAATTTATAAACAAGAACCTAAAGCCCATTCCATGCATTCTTGTTGGAGGAAACTACCTTCAGGTGGCCCCTCTGCCTCCTACAGAACAGATTCTTATCAGGTTTGATCTTTCCCAGATGCTCCACCTCTTGTACTATTTGCTTTCCTGTTTGCAGTATTAATCTTATGTATCTATATCTGCAGTTATTTGGAATTGCAAACAAGGGGTGAAAACAAGGTCTTCACCCCTTGTTTGCAATTCCAAATAGCTGAAGTTTCCACTGAACACAACTACAGATCATGAAGTAATCACTTGGCTTCTCGGGCTGCCTTCTATCCCTCCCAGATGAGGAATGCTCAGTAGCTAACAACAAACCAATAATGAATTATATACCATCAGTACTCAGAGAACACCTCGACTTAAATATTTTCAATGTACACTGGAATTAAACTACCTCCCTGAAGGATGTGATTCAGATTATTTTGCTTTTAACAACAAAGAGCAAGACAGTAGCCAATATCTAAAGCCAGACAAGACAGATGCTCCTCTAAAGAGACACGAACGTGTAGCACTGATGGACCTAAGTCCCTGAATATTTTTATGGAACTTTAAAGGCCTGAACTGTGTTTTTCTTCTCACTTGAAAAGCAGCATGTCCAGGGCACTTCTAAGACAAGGGGCAAGGAAAATCACTGCTGTGTTTCCAAGCCATGAGTGCAAGGCCAAACTTCTAAAAGGGCTGAAATTAAAATACTGAGGCAAATGTTTCAGATTGAAACCTGCAGCAATATGAACATATCACAGCAGAAATTCACACCAAGATGGCAGTAATGTCCCAAGACAGGGCATTAAATGAATTTACACAGCCAACATAGAAAATACATACTTGGCATGCAAATCCTGTTATTTACTATTTCTAGGTAAACAGAAACATATCCATTACATATCCTGAAATATATATCCTTTAGCATTTATGTCATGATTTGAGGCAGCCTAACTGCAGTCTCGAGATTGCTCATTCCTACCTTCAACAGGTTGCCTCAGTTAGGTGCCCATCTTGTTGAAAGATTCATATGGGAATATCCTAGTACTTTGATACTGAGACAATGCAGACGGATAAAACTTGCCACCAAAAGGTAACGTTACTGCTAAAACAGCAAAGTTAACAGAGTTGAGGGGCAAGGAAAGAGCACCACTACAGAATACTGGAATATTACTACACAAGTTTCACAAAGCTTAGCATGTTTAATCAGATCCACTCTGAGTAAAAAATCTGTCAAATGTAATTTCATTTCAATTAGCTGTGCTAAGCTTATGGCACAGCTGGGAAACGTTTAAGCATAGTAGATTTTAGTTGCCTATTGAATTCCCAAGTGGATTTAGCCCTGAAGGAAAAGAAGGTAAGCAGATCAAAGCAGAAGTATTTTAATACATGATTCATCCACCTTGATATTCCCAATATCCAAACACTGCCAGAATCAGAAAGCCTTATGAAGTGAATATAGCTTTAACTGATACAAAATATACTAGAGGGTCAGATTAAAGAATGCAGAATGGGAGGATGTCTGAGAGCATAGAAAAAGGGGGAGAAGACTCACATAACGAGGAAATGAGAATCAGCATTTCCATGAATTGTGTGAAGGTCTTAGCAGTAAGAATTTCACACCAATAGAAGTTTTCATGTACATTGAGAAGCATGAAAGCACCAGCAGCCAAATTATTGAGACTTAGGACTGAAGTCCGGAGAGTATTAACAAATGCTCAGCAAGCCCAGGGCAGTCAAGCATAGCTTTGGGCAAACAAGTTACCAGAACATAACATGTCTGCAGCCAAATGGAGAAGAAATAGATAACAGTTGCTTTCAGATGGAGAATCCATTTTAAGTGCCAGCTGCTTAGCACATGAGTGCAGCAGCAGATAATGTGAAAGAATAGGAAGCAATCCTAGAACGAACTTCCAAACCACAAAAGATAACAGGATGAACTGGAGTTCAAACTGAACTGGTCCAAGCAGGCCACCACCATGACAGGACAGGAACAGGATTTACATTGAGACCCATGAGCCCCGAAGAGCCCAAAGTAAAGCCCACACGCCCAAT